TTTTGTCAACACCGCTTCCATTTTATTTAAACTTACTTCGCTAGATGCTAATACTGTTATATCATCTGCAAATGTAAGCTTACTAATCTTTTTCTCCTGTATATCTATCCCTACACTTGTACCTATTGTCTTTAATGATGTTGATCGCGAAAAATTTTTGGTAAATTGGTCAAAGTGGAAAGTTATCTCATTTGGTAAGACATTCAACCACTTAAAATTTTTTGGCTTCTTAATTGAATTAAATATTATTTTTGTTTTTAGCCTTGTATATCTTTCTCCACAGTTGTACTGTCTAATATATTTTGCCATTTTCAGCTGTTTACCTATAACAAAACGTGATCAACGAAGAGTACGATGGAGGAAGGATGTGGATATCGTCCACACAAAACCTGTACCATTGCCATCTAACATAAAAACTTATTTTATGGAAGTAAAAGAGTTTTCACCACAAAATCAGTAATAACATGTTAAAAATGTGAACGTATTTTTTTAGGCTTGCTATTTTGGTGAACTTTCGTGTTTTTCGTTAGGCGAGAGTTTCGAGGATCGGTATATTGTTGCAAAAACTCCAGTAGAAGTTCTCAAAATTCCCAGGCATTTTTTGTTCAAAAGGAACGTAGGAAACGTTTGGAATAAACTCAGACAATTCCTCGAACAACATGTACCAAACAAAAATATATTATTTAAGGAATTTGTGAACGAAAGGAGGTGGAGAACCCACGCTAAAGAATTAAAAAATTATCTCATAGTAAACAGAACGTGTTGTTACTCGAATGGAATAGAAAATGTTCCTTACTATTTCAGAATAAAAGATATTTTACTGTAAGTAAATGTAGGTATATACATGTATATGTAGGATATAATTAAAATACTAATAAAACGATAATTAATAAATAATTTAAACGATATACATATACTTAGGGATCGTAAAATAATTCTGGAAGTTTCATACCGTTAGGGTGAGTGAAAACAGTCACCCTCCTAACTCACTTCTAGTAATTCATTGTTGAATCTTTTCAATCCGAATCTAATCTGTTTCTATGATTGCAAAGTATTTGATCTACAGCCGAATGGTAAGCGCTAAACTGAAACTTTAAACAAATAATTTCAATATACTAATACTTTGTGTTATTAAGACCTCGAGTTTGTGAAATTCATCTTTAAAATTTAGATTAATCTACAGAGCCAATGAAGATATTCGTTATACCTGCTTTTTCTATAAACATTAAGTAAAATTTCCGATTTCTCTCTCATTGAACTTTTGCGTCCAGAATTTTCGGTAATAAGAAATGTAGGACTTTGTGCAGAATTTGTACTATTTTTCCCAATGATATATTAAGATATTTTCAATTAAAGACAGCTAGAAAGGAATGAAATGTTCTTTATCAACTATATAAAGCCACCGACGTTTCGTCTTCCGATCTACGGTATTTTCAAGATAGATTACTTATCTAATAAATTATATTAGGAGAATAAAATAATTCGAAGTGGTCTGTATTCTGTCGAAACTGCCAGACGCGGATCGCGATTTCGATCTTTTTGGATCTCATCAGCGCGTCGCA